TTTGTACGAGCGAGAAATTATAAAAAACCGCTGCTTATGTTTCTTTCAAAACCAACCTTTTCATAAGATTGCGAGATATTAGTTACACTAATGCAAACCAATCATGCAATTCTAAGAAATAACGCGACAAATAATTTTACAATTTTTCTTTTTTTTTCCTGGATCCACGGAATTTTTTTTCAGCTAAGTCATTGCATGGACCAGATAGCTTGTTTATTCAGCTTCAATTTCCTTTTTTTTTTTAATTTCGATACGACCATATTTCATCGAAATATCGGACTTTTAATGGAAAATGATCCTTTTACCTTCAATCATCGATATCTCGGCGACAAATAGTGGTACAGAGAACTGAAAGACAGTTTCGAAAACTGGAATAAATTTCCTATGACAAGCTATCGCAACTTTTCTTTTATACAAATTTTTAAAAACAAAAACAAAGGTAATTTATGGATTTTTAGAAAATTGACGGCGTATGTGGTTTCACTTCTGTTTGATCTCTCCAGGGCGTTTGACACTGTCGATAAAGAGATCTTGAGCCAGAAATTATACAGTCTGGGTATAAGAGGTAGCATGCTTGCATGGCTGACTTCATATATGGAAAATAGGTCTCTGGTAGTCAATATAAACGAGGAAAAATCGGATATATATGCGGTTGCACTTGGAGTACCTCAGGGTTCCGTACTAGGTCCATTACTGTTCATGCTCTATGTCAATGATTTGCCAACATACATTGAGCATGGTCATGTAACAATGTTTGCTGACGACACAACGGTTACTGTATCAGCAAATACACCTGAGGAGGTCCGAACAATTATATGTAATGTGGTAGATTCATTGAGTGTATGGTGCCATAGAAATAAATTAATCCTAAACACCAAAAAGACGGTATACATTAATTTTCATCTTCAAAGGCCCCTACCTGCAAACCTCATGTCCGATGAAGGTACCATGTCAGATTCGGTAAAACTTCTGGGCACCATCCTTGATTCTAGGCTCTCCTGGCATAAGCATGTTGACCATGTTTGTGGTCAGTTAAATAAAGCATTCTTTGCAATACTGCAGTTAAAGCATACTCTTGATCAGGCGGGCTTAGTTAATGTTTATTATTCCATGGTATACAGTCACATAGCGTTCAACATTCTCGCTTGGGGTAGAGGTAGTGAATGGGAAAGAGTTTTTATATGTCAAAAAAGAATTATTAGACTACTTTTCAACTTGAAGGTGAATGAGAGTTGTAGGAATGTGTTTAAGGATAAGCAAATTCTCACAACGCCCTCAATTTACATCTTAAGATGTCTAATTTTTACAAAAAATAATCTGAGTCTTTTTAATAAATGGACATATTTTCACAACTATATGACCAGACATGGTGAGCTGTTGAATATTCCTTCCCACCACACAAGTGCTTTTAAAAAATCTTCATATTATAATTGTGTAATTTTATACAATGCTCTTCCTAAAGAAATTAGATGTATAAGTGATTATAGAAAATTTAAAAACAAAACTAAAGAATTTTTGTCAGTTGGAGGTTTTTATAGTGTGGAGGATTTTATAAGTGGTAAATGATGCTAACTGTGGTTTTTTATTGTCACTATCGATGTATGTTGTCCTGTTCTTTTTCTTTTTAATATACTTGACTTGCCATATGTACAAATTTGTATCTTTGCCTGGCCAAAAAAAAAGCTTTTCTAGACAAAATGTTTCTATACTTTACATGAATATTTTAGACCTTGTAATAGACCCATCAAAGATTATGTATTTAATTATAAGTGTTCGTTTGTGTTGTATGTTTGTCATTCTGTACTCCTGTGTAAATTGTCGTTTATACACTATTTTTATGACTTATCCTATACATTGTAAAATGTCATAAAGGACAAATAAATATTATTATTATTATTATTATTATTATTATTATTATTATTATTATTATTATTATTATTAAATTAGAAATATTCACGAAATGACTAATGATAAGCATGACTTTTACAGTTCGATATACACAGAAGAACCCTGTGAAGTTTCATCGCGATCTAGCGAACCGTTTCTTTGTTTCAAGCAGTCAAACTATTGGAAAAAATTAGTTTTTTGAGCTTAAACACTTCATAATCATGATTAAAATGGAAAATTATTTTTTGGGGTTTTTTCACATTTTTACCGTAAATAACGTTTAAATTGATGAAATAAAAAGAAATGAATTTTATTTTGAAAAAAAAAACAAAAATGAATTAGAAATTTGTCTCAAAAGACGGTATGAATCGGGGTTGAAATCTGGTTTGGGTCATCAACTTTAATTTTAATATAATTAAAAGTTGATGAACAGAAGCATAGGACGAAAAAGCCGAATCGTGCTGGAAACAATTGGATTGTTTTCTTCAATGTCCGGAAGGTTTTTCAAAAAAACAAAAATAAATTGTTTTCATCAATTTATACGTTATTTGCAGAAAAAATGTGAGAAAACATAAAAAAAAATGTTTTTCCATTTTAATCATGATTATGAAGTGTAAGCTCAAAAAACGTGACGCTCTAATTTTTTCAAAAGTTTGACTGTTAGCTAGATCGAGATGAAACTTGATAGGGTTCTTCTGGGTATATCGAACTGTAAAAGTCATGCTTAACTTTAGTCATTCCTTTAATGTTTCTAATTTAGCCGTCAATTTTCTAAAAAACCATAAATTCCTGTTTTTTTAAATTCGTATAAAAGATGAAAAAAAAAATTCCGAAAAGTTGCTGCAGCATGTTATAGGAAATTTATTCCAGTTTTCGAAACTGTCCTGCAATTCTCTGTACAACCATTTGTCGCCGAGATATCGATGAATATGTTTGAAGACAAAATGATCCTTTTCCATTAAAAGTCCTATATTTCGATGAAACATGATCGTATCGAAATTTAAAACAAAAAAGGAAATTGAAGCTGAAAAAACAAGCTATCTGGTCCATGACTTAGCTGAAAAAAATTTTTCCAAATCCGTGGAATCTGAAAAAAAAAGAAAATTTGCAAAAATTTTTTGTCGCGCTATTTCTTAGAAATGGATGATGACCGTAGCTCCTAAAAAATCGACCGAAAGATCTAAAAACTAGAATCTTAGAGCTTCAAAAGGCTTTTTTAAATTCCCGATATGACCATTTTTCACAGTCAAAAATCACGGAAAAATTTCGAAAATTCTTTTGACCCTTTGATTTTTTGCATTAGTGTAGATGTATTGTTCCATAAAGCTAGACGTTTTCCTAATATGATCTTTCTTAGTTCTAACAAAACTATTCTATATTAATAAATTGTTATTTGTACAGACAAGGAGATGCGTGATTATGTAGCTATGATATTTTGTCGAGATTGCCCCTCCAACCTCGCAGTGTTTAACACACTATCCCAGAAATTATTATTTCAATATTTTACACAGCCCCAGGTTGTTTTCTAAACCTAGATTAAGCTTTTGTGCGATCTTGAAAGGCAAATACAGAGCTCAGGATTTGCATGTTTAGATATTAACTTTAACAGCCTCGCTAATTAGTTGCTACTAGATAAATACGAATATACATACCGAGTTTTTCAGTCGCGCAAGCGATTTCTGAGAACCGGCAATTAATACATTTTTATAAATATTCTTTCTCATTAATTACCTACTAATATTTACGCGTTTTGATTGAATCTTAATCTTTCAATGTCGTTAAATATGTTTTATTAGGTACTGTCTGCACGTAAGTTTCTTGCGATGCAAAATATGAAAAAACGGTACCTGTCGACTTGAATTGCACAAATTTTATATAAAATTACAAACTAAAAATTACCTTACACACAAGTATGTGGTTATATATTAAGAGTAAGCCTTACTGAAGTTATTCATTTGAGTGAACAATTTTTCCCTTGATCAGCAAAATGTATTTTGAAATGGACGCTCTGAACCATTACGAGGGTAATCGCTACTTCTTTTGGGAATATTAAACTGAAAATAAAATACAGTTTAAGTAAATCAATAAATAAAATAAGTCTTGAATAGTAATATACAATCTAACGCCCGCCAGTGTGTAAAAGTCGCTCAAAGTTCATTGCGGTTAATAATAACATTTCTCATACTCTTCAATAATGTTAAATGAAAATATAAATTTAAACAACTCATATTATTTATTTACTTCAATACCTGTTGGTAGCAGGTAGTTAAAACACTTTGCTTCCTGCACGCCACAAATGAATCTAAATAGCTGTGTAATCTGCTAAACCGTTAACAAAGTTAGTGACAACATTAATTTCTTGTTCTCTCTAAACCATCCCTTGGCCTATACAGAAATTTAATCTTAATTTTGGATAGCTGTGTCCGTTGTCCATAAAACTTTGTGCCAGACTGTCAAATTTTCATCAAATTTTTTTGATAAAAATAATTTGATTAAAATCAGATTAAAATTTACTTTCAATGCATTCAAATTTATTTTGATCAAACTAATCAAATTAATAAAACACGAAATAAATGTCTACGAATGGCCCGAAAAGCTATATCAGTATATTTATTTGAATAGTTTGTTTTTCACCCGTCTTTCACTTAATTTGACAAACATTAATAAGAAAAGAGTTTCTTTACTCTGACGTTTTTTTTTTCAAACTTGTCGTTATATCAGAATGACGCCATCAAATTGTTTTGGCCAAACAAATTTAACGAAAATTTTTTATAGTCTGACACCAAAATTCCAAATACATACCATCAGTAGACTGAAAGATACCTATCAAAAAATGTAAAATATTTTACACATAATGAGTTGGGCCATTTTGAGATGGTCAGTTGGCGATTTGCGGATGGAAAATACACTGATCTGAATGGTTAAGTTAAAACAGATCAGTGTTTTAAGATCTGTTAGGAAATCTATTCGTACGAAACACAAAAATGAATGAATGACTCAAATACATAACGAATTATGTATGTTCAATTATATATTGTTATGCGACACCTTTTTAATTACATGAAGTGACGGATTTACTATAAATTTTCTATATACGCTCTATTTTCTTTTAGGTGGCCTGGGTGCGGGTCGATACCCAGACTATCCTATCAATCCACCACAATGTGATCACGCAGAACCCCCGTATCTCCTTGTCGTACAACGACCACCGCTCCTGGTACTTGCACATCAAGAACGTGCAGGAGGTGGACAGAGGCTGGTACATGTGCCAGGTCAACACGGACCCCATGAGGTCACGGCAGGGGTACCTGCAAGTCGTGGGTAAGTGCTCCAAGATATCGCATAGTATTTTGTACGGAGAAAAAACGGCCAATATTGCGAATTAAACAGCGATTAATTTATTTATAATTTATATTTTATTGAACCCAACTTTTGGAATAGACATTCTTTTACAGAATTGTTTCAAACATTTCGTTAAAAATTGTTGTACAATTACCGCATTTTTGAGGGATTTCTGTACTTATATAAATTCTGCAACAATACAGGGCGTTCTAATTAAATCTTTCCACCTGGAAAATGTTGAACACCGTGTATACAAGGTATTTCATTACGCATGGGATCGGAAACCGTTCCACTTGTCAAGTTTTGTTACCGAAAATGATTTACTTACCATCTACCCGTTCTCTAAACCATTTCCGTGTGCACGGAATCATAAATGATTGCATTTTTTGCTCTGCTGAAAAATATCAGTCCATTACAAACACAAACAAAACAAGACGGTTACTCTAAATGAGTTTCTTCATGAATAAACTCCTCCTGGCTGTACGCCGTGCTAGTATCTCACACGGAAAAATCGCTAGCAAAGTCTATGAAAAATTCACATACCCTAAAGGTGGTAGATGAAGGCTGAGGTAATATATTTCTCATTTCTTTTGTGTGGAGTGCACTTTGGCCTCGCTGCAAGAGACATCGAATTGACACGTAAAGAGGCGTAATAAACTAACGAGTTTAATATGGAGCGAAGAGCGGGTTTTCCGCTGCGAGCTAGGCCCCAGAGAATTTAGATAGTTTCGTACGGTGTGTTCTAGTTAGATATTTATTCATTTACGATACAGCAGAATTGCAATATAAACCTATTTAGTGCCCTCAATGCTATAAAGTGTTTCAGTTCAAATGAATACAGCTGCATTTAACTTGCTAAATAAAGGGGAAAAAAGTATTTTTAGTTTTAATTTTTGAGATATAGATGAAAATTTATCTGTAAAAATCGCTGGGCTTCGAAATCAATCCAAAATAATATCTCGCGGAAATTTTGATGACATTTTTAGAATTCGAATTAATCTAAATCAATTAAAAAATATATATATTTTTTATAGTTAGTCCTAATACCCTTAAAAGTCAGCAATGTAAATCAATTACGAGAAATTTGACAATAGCCTCGGTTTGTCTATACATCATGTAACATGTGATCAAAATTACATTACAAGTTCAAATGACTTTTTGAAAAAAAATAATCGTACTGAAAAAAATACGGCTCGTTAAACAGTCGCTATCGACATCGCTATTTGTTCATATAAAACATTCGACATCAGAAAAAGCTAATACGATAACAGTGAGAGTGAAAGCCTTAATCAATGTCGACTTCTTTGTGCGAAATGTAAATTGTTCTTTTTCTGTAAATAGGATAGCATAAAGGGAAACGGAGGAGGCCGGGCTGCAAAAAGCGTGTCGTCAACCTTCTCGCAACAGATTTCCCACATTAACGTCGACGTATTTACAAAAAGGGGAAGATATATTGCGGGGTGTGCTGCCCCGCCGATATTCCTCCGAAGAGAACTCTTACTGAATGTTCGTGCCAAAATTAACACACGTACTTTTGAAATGAATAAAGCGAGGGCATAAACGAAGGGAGGGGGCGCTTGGGGATTTACGGCGTACGCCTATGAGGACGTACTGTGATTTCTAGGCGATGTACGAGGATTTCTTTAGAACTTCCAGGATATATTGGGATGTTCTAAGGATGTACAGAAGAATGTACACGATTTACCGGGAATGTACTTGATTCAGCGCATGAACATTTTATTAATTCCTTGTCATTCCTTGTCTCTTGAAGGTGAACTACTGAACAATACAATTTTAACCAGTTCACTTATATTGGAAATCTAATGAATAAAAAAATATATAGTTTTGTCAGAGGTGTCTCATATTGAGAGTGTTTTTGATAAATAATGTTTCAATGTATTTATTTACTAACCTTTCAACACGAGTCAAAAATTAGAAATACATATATTGCAATAGGTACTCTTGTTTTTTTATTGTTGTATCATTTTGGAGCACTAGTGATTTAAATATTACCTATGTCACATATATGAAAATATATGAAACAGAATTTGTAAACACCCAATTCATTCACAGTATGTTTTAAAAATGATATTGATGATCACAAATTAATTGTTAAAATTACTTAGGCTAATAAAATCTACAAGTAATAAGTTTTTAGGGACATAATTGTATAAAAAATGTTATATTTGTAATTGAAGAATGTAAAATATAGTTAATTTTTACTTTGATCAAAAATTGTCTCTGTGTACTCTTATTTTACTGATTTTCTTCACCTTTGGGGTGTATATTTTTCCCCTCACTCTACCAACAAACAGGGCCCACCAACTAAAAAATATAAACATTTTCTTTTACAATTAGTCGTAGAATGCGTTGGTAAATTATTGTAGGCTAAATAAAAAGTAATTACCACAAAGAAAATTGAATGTAGTATTTCCGAATATTTTCTTAAACGTAACACCCTCTGGATCTTTACACTGTTGAAAAGACTGTAGAAATAGGTATATACAGGATGTATCACATTTAAATAGCAGGACTTCAGGAATCAGTAGAAGACCTCATTTTGAGTCTAAAAGTTCCTATATACAGGGTGTCTCACATTTAAATAGCAGGACTTCAGGAATCAGTAGAAGACCTCATTTTGAGTCTAAAAGTTCCTATATATTGTGATGCTTCAATTGTGACAAATATCTTTGTTCTGTTTTGTGTATTGGTGTGTATTAGTATATAGAGCGCCAGTAAAATGTTGTAACTTTTTCTATTAATTCATGAAATATAATTGATCACTTACCAGGCTAGCTTTTCTCACAGGATATCACTCAATATAATTTAAATGGTAATTCAAAGATGAAAATGGTTTTAGTATTCGGGATTTAAAATTAACTTATAATTTTATTAATGTTTTCCTTTTTTTTTTTGATTTGATTGAAAACTAAATTTATTCTGTTAATTTTGCACAAATAATTTCTATGAATTTTATCAGAACATGAGTTCCCTTCTCAGAAGTCGGTTCTTAGATTAAACTGAATAAAATTAAATAATATAGTGTGATCTGGGTTCAAACTTTCTATTGATATTTATGATGACAAATAAATTATTAAATTTTTCTATTCCCTAATTTAACCTGCTCTATCTTAATTCTATGCTACAAACATGTACTTATTCTATTCTTATAATTATTATTGTCACTCACTTCAGACCGATCAACAATCCTTTTTTTTTT